AACCTGATCTTTAGCTTTCGGCGCATTTTATTATCAAAATAAATACATGCATGTTGGATAAGTAAACTAAAGTCATGCAGTTTCAGTTTTTATACCGATCAGTGACAGATGGGAGGTATATTCATTTTGTTTGGAAGCTTCAGAGAAGCCACAAAGTATTTGTGTTCTTGATAACCATTAAATTCTAAATCGATTTATGTATGTCCGTATGTTCGTCGGTTGTAAACAATCTCCTGGCCGCCAAAGTGAAGATGAAGGGACTTCATGTTTGGCAGAAACATTGGCAGTTCTTATACGCACGTTGGTATAGAAAATGGGCCAAATCGGTCGAAGGACCTAACACGTATCATGTAAACTGAGAACACCTCTGTTGTTCAAAGGAATACAAAATTTATTTTTTCCTCATCACTTATAAACTGTAGCAGATAAATGTACCAGAAATTCGCACGTATATTTTATGAGCGATACCGTAGAATCTGTACAAAAATGGGAAAAATTAGCCACGCCTACTTAATTTTATAGTGTATCATAAGTTTAGTTTTCGTTGCAAAACCTTTATAGCGCACAAAAGCAATCTTCAAAAACCAAAAAAAGTATATACATCCTTGCAAACTGTCAAATTCGGAATGGAGCTAAGCATGTCCGTCTGTTCGTCTGCCCACCGTGCAGTATTTGTGGTAAAGATTCTCCCGTTCGCAAAAATGAAGACGACAACGTCAACGACAAATTTCGCAAAAGACTTTGAAAATGACTCGAATTGGTCAATGGGCAGGTCTGCAACGCCCACAAGCCTATGCGAAAAAAACTTTTATTTTGAAAATGAAGAAAATCAGCCGCGCCCATTCTTTATTATAGAGCATGAAAATTTAATTCTTTTCCGGTTTTTTAAGCCTTTTTTCGGATAATGGTAGTGAGCATTAAACATTCAGCTACGACCGAACATAATTTTAATTTTACTTGTTCCTTTCTTTTATTGTTTTCTATTGGTTTAATCTCCAACTATGTTTGCGTTCATAGGAATTTCACAACATTTTCTTTTGATCCTTTTTTTTTTTTGTGTTGATTGTGTTCTTTTTTGTTACGATATTATCCTTTTAAAATTGAAACATGCTTGAACATGTCTCTAACTGAAAATCACATTCAATCAACAGGCAGCAGATTACGTTCTAGTTTCATTTGTTTGCTTCACCCTAATAACTCATGCATTGTGCATGATTGAAACAGGAGTTAGAAAGGAGTTAGAAAAGAAGAGCGTACAGCCAACTCAGCTAGCTCGAAATAATATAAATACATGTGCATGCACAGGGAGCCGGGGAGTGACGAAAATAGAGAAATAATTGTCATCATATTAGCTTATTATATATATCTTAACGAGCAATTCAATGGTCATCGGTTCGAATCTCAAGTGCGGTAGAGTTAGGCCACGCCATCAGACTCTTGAAAATACAAACGAGTAAAATCTCAAGTACCTTTGATATTTCTGTGGAACTTTTCTTAAAAATTAAAAAAAGAGTCTGTACAGTAAAACGTTATCTAGACAACAAATGATGATAAATAACAGAGAGACTACAAGTGACGAGTGAAAAAGAGTTGTTTTACCCAATCGAATCGGATTGGCAATCAAAAGGTCTCGTTGTCAACAACGATACTTAAGTAGACGAAAACGACCTTAATATTGACTCGGATTGTCAACCAGGTAAGCGGATAGCATCGGAAATGTCTACAACGAAGCACATATCTTGCAAAGACCAGGCTATTGCCTGACCTTCATGCCCAATCAACACTTTCAGGCAACCGGTGTGTACGAAAGTTTTATACAGCATTAGAACCATAGCACAGGAACGCCAAATTTACGAAACCCCGAGAAAGAAATTTTCGGAATATACCGGTACCGACAGCGTATCAATTTAGAATACACGGATAGAAAAAATAGAAAACAATTCAAATTACGTAAGTCAATATGAACGATCAAGGTTTTTGATACTTTTCTTCGTTGCTAATATTTTGGGCCAGTACATCATATTTCAATTACAACAATAGGTGAGGCAGGTCACACTCTTTTTTTTTTTTATAATTAAATAATTTGTTTTTTATTTGGCCCCGTTACTTAACATTACATTTTGTGAGCTTTTTTGACCAATTGACGGGAATGGTTTGTATAGGCGATTTTTGAAGGTGCAATGCATGATGAGCCCAACAAGGGGATGGCACAACACAGTAGAAACGTTAGATAAGTAGGGCCATCCACATCATCGCCGAAGTGGAATATTGATGAGCATAAAGTTTTTCCCTGCATATGGCAGTGGTGTACTGTATTACGAGCTCTTTAAATTGAATGAAACTCTTATTGCAGATATAAATCGATGTTAATGCAACAAATTGAACGGTGTATTGTTGAAGAAAGGACTAGTAATAGCGGCTAACAGACGCAAGGTCATCCTGTTGCATGACAAGGCTCGACTACCCGTTGCAAGAGTTGTCAAGGACACACTGTTGTACCTCGAATGGGATGTTTTGTCGCACACATCACTCTCACCAGACGTAGTGCCTTCTGATTACGGCTTGTTCAGATCGGTGCCGCGTGATTTGACAGCCACGCAGTTTCGAAATGGATCGACGCCACACCATCGTTCTTTCGACACGGTATCGTCACGTTTCCGAAAAGATGGGTAAAAGTTGCACCAAATAATGGAAAATATTTTGATTAACATATATTGTATCGATTTTGCTCAATAAAAGTCCGTTTCAACTGAAAAAGTGATCAAAATATATGCAAGCACCTAAGCATCTATTTATTTAGTTAGTGCGAAATGAATTTACAAAGTATGGATTCAAAGGCTGCTGGATACCCTAGATTATATGCTCTCTACTGCAGTTAACCTTTACATATGTATACTATAATTACACCCGACATACGCATGCGATGGAAAGCATGGTTCCAGGAGCATCATTTGGATGTCGTGGAGTGGCCAAATCAGAGACCCGACCTTAATCCTTTTGGAAAAAAAAAAGAATTCTGCTAAAGTATTCTAAAAGCATTGTATCCCAATATACCAAGAGAGCCAGTCTTGCTATAGCTTAATTTCATCCATGCCTAGAAAAATCGAAAGCTGTCCTTACAAACAACGGCGGTTATACCAGCTACTGACTGGCTGAATTGATTTCTATACAAGTGCTTACTGTTAAGTATAAAGCAATGCGTTTTTAAGTTTTCACCGTCCACCTGAAGACATGTGTGAAGACATTGATTGATTGTACTTTCTCAAGTTTTTATTTTTATTTAACGTAAATCTAAAAACATTTTTAAATAGAGAAATATTCCCATTATGTGCTCCTATAAAAGATACATATAAAATATAATGCAAGGAGAATGGGGAAAAAATACTTTCCAACAACATAAAACCAGATACATAATACATCCATATGCACATAATTTCCAAATTTCTTTAAACGTCTTCTTCTCTCTTATTCAATTTTCGTTACTTCTATGTATAGTTATTCAAGTACACGTGAATCTGGACATAAGGTAGAGTTTAGTAATCTATTCATTCCCCGGATAATAGTAAGTCCCCTTTATATGTATGTGTATCCAAGTATGTATTTGATCAGTTTGCGATTCTATTTCAGCCATATTATGTTCGTATTCTTATTTCCTAGTTAACCTTAACCTTTTGCTTATTGATATCTTCCATAAAATTCATATCAAACTATGTATATTCACAGTCAAAACTTTCCTACTGAATGTAGGAAAGAATGGCTTAAAAAAAGATAATAAATTAAAATAACGTAAAAGTTGTTACAAAGAATTTCATAATTATTGAATTTCTGAGAGATCGTCTAGTATTAAGGCTGATAATAAAGACAGCGTCAGCGTGAATTGAAAATAGTTTTTTTTCTCTTGACCAGCGACTCGGACAACGTTCTTCCCCTACACAGGCAAATGCGTAGAGGAATAAGAATAAATTTGGAAAAATATTGATCTCTTTCAGAGAGATGTGTAATATTTCTTAGGCCGTCATCGGATTCACAGATTCTTCTTTGCCCTACCCATAAAAGTATGTGAAGGAATAAGTATGAATTTCTTAGACTATGATCCTATAGGCCTTACTTTATTCAACTGTACTGTTGTACATCACGTTTAGGACTCTCGATGTCATGGCACAGATATAAGAAGTGATCTGAATTCTGGCAAAACATACTATGGTAACAAAAGAAAAGAAAAAGTGCGTACAGAGAGATAAATCTTTTCAAGTTAAAGAAGAGTTTCGATGATTACTCTTCGAATTATGATTAATATTTATTACACAACATGGTTTATACTAGCTTTGCTATTTCATTTATATTTTCTTCTCTCTTTTTTTAAACGATTTCATTTCTCTTCATATCTCTTTTTCTTTGAATTTTCTTTTGTTTTTTTTTTTTGTAAACTAAACGATCACAACTTGGAGAGTTTCATAAATAGCCGTAATTTGTACCTGCATTAAGAATTCCAAATGGATTCTTTCAAACGACGAAAAAAAAAAAGAAATTTTTTTTTTAAAAATAAGAACCTACACACTCACTATACAAACGTATAGCTGTACATGTACATCAAATTGGAAAAAGGATTCCTAACGAGTTTTTTTCACGTATAGATGTTTATGTTTTTTTTTTTTTTTTTCTTTTTTATATATATATATATTTTTTTTTTTTGTTCTTTTTTTATTTAGGGTTTTATTTACTTCTTTCAGGCTTTCAGGGTTTCATTTGTGGTAAATCTCGACCATTGCATTAACAGCAGGTACAGTCACATGGAACAGGTAGAAAGAATATTTCTACTTATATTCATTCGGTAGAGAAAAGAAACTAATTTCGTACGAGTATACGAAAACGCAAACCACCTGCCTTTAAAGCAAGCGTTTATTGGTTGGTTTTCAATTTAATGGAGAGACTTGGTGAGCATTTTACGCTATTAGAGAATAACGTAGACATTTCTGGTTATAAAAAGCCAACGTATTGCAACTTGATAAACAGTTTTGTTGCAGCAATCGAAGCATAAAGATAGACAGACGTTCGAAACACAAAAATTATTCAATAAAATAGAAGGAAAATGTCGTTTTCAACACGCGAATACAAACTTCATGATTCGTTGATGGCTGTACCGCAAAAATATCAACACAGCATGGCTGCATGTAGTCTTAAAAAACTGGTTAAACCTTTGCTGAGATTATTGAAGAAGAAACAATTGCTGCATAAAACCTTGGCCGAAATTCAACAGAATGCCTATAACAACAGCCTGGAAGATATGCGTAAAGATGCCGCCTCACTGAGCGCGGCCGAAGATAATCTAGCCAACGAGCAGCTCGAACAGAGACTGTATGACGAAATACGCCACTGCGAAGCAAATGCGGCGGTCATAGTCCAGCAAGGTCAACAGCATCTCCTAGTGCCAGTAACTCGGCAACAAACTTACATTCCAGTACATTTCGCTCGCACAAATGACGGTACATTTTTTTGGACATCCATGGTAATGAATGCAAAAAATCACTATAATGAATGGGATCTATGCACAGCCACTCATCATTTGGATCGTTGGGGTCAAGCTTAATTATTATTGTTTAAGTGTTTAATATGCATCCCAAACGTGAACAAATGTGTGCAGTGGTAAAAGCTTTATAACTACCTAAGCATTGTCCTTACTAGTGTTTAATATATATCTATATAGAATTTATATTTATATATAATTTTTTTTTTTTTTTTTTTATATTTGGGTGATATTAGCTTTTTTGTGTTTTTAACTTTAATTGATATCTAGTTGTTGTGCCATTAATTGAGTGATTAATTTTTATTATAGAAACTCATTTTATTTTCATATATAATATATATATATATATATATATATAAATATATATAGTCTTAATGAAACTCTTGAAATTTTTGTGATGTACATTCCTAGTAAATCATTGTCTTCCTATGTAGTTTCAGTCCTCCAATTAATTAGAATTAATACACATTTAAATGTCTTCCATGTAAATAGATTAAATAGTATAAGTTAAAAAAAAAATAAAAAAAATAAAAAAACATGAAAAATATATAATAAATATTAAAAAGAAAAATATATAAAGGGAAAAAAACTTGAATTTATCTGACTTTAATTTAAATAAATTGTTTACCTATTCATTCAAAATTCATTCGGTCTCGGTAAAGCATTTTGGCATACGTCAAAAACATACGCTTTTATAGAAACCTCAGTCATATAATTAATCGTTCATCAAATAAGATGAGAAAAATTAATGAAACGGTTCGGCTGCAACGATGTCGGCAAAGTTAAGACTATTGTTGATATTAGCTTTGCTTAAAATATACGCTCTTTCATAAAAGCAACAAGTAGTGTTTGCATAGTAGTGTATCACTTTTTTTTTTATTTCAACATACACACATACACATACGCTCACACAACGTATTAAATCAAGCGGAGATAGAGAAGAGCGGCTTATAAGCAATTTACCTCTAAGCGAGACGAGTTTTGCTTACGACTCTACTCTATTGCTTTTAAGTAAATATGGATAAGATATTTTAATGTAATTAGTCTACAATCGTTTTATACTCATCATGGGACTTGCAATATATTTATGTGACATGTTTATGACATGACTTGCTTAATCATTAATTTAGAGCATCAGCCTTTATATTAAGCATTAAAATTTATTTCAAATATATGTATCTCTGCGTTAGGCTTAAAAATCAGATGACTTAAGGCACGGAATAACTTTTCATTGTCATATAAAAGCATATAGGAATCAGAAACTATACATAAAATCATATATTGCCTCACATATATACTAAAATTATCTTATATATCGTACATTTATGATTCTATCGCGCTTTTATAAAATAAAAATTCAGCCTGAGAGGATTCAATAAAAAATTATACACACATATATACATTAGAGAAGGATGTGCTAAAATTTATAGGAGAAAATTTTCTCATTCCAATGCAAACTGGCAGCGATCAATCCATGCTAAACAAAATTTTTCTTTCTTTATACCTAGCACCGAAGCATAAGGAGTAGATTCATTTTGTCAAAACGTTTGCAAAGCCCGGAACGAAGCTTCAGAGATCTCACAAAGTGTATTCATTGTTGATCGGTACCAAATTCTAAATAGATTTAAGCATGTCCGTTCGTCCGTCTTTCTGTCCGTCTGTCTGTATAATGTCTGTTGTAAATATTCTACTGTCCGCGACTTCACATTTGGCAGAAACATTGGAAGTTCTTGTGCGCAGGTTGGTATTGAAAATGCTAGCCCAGTTTCAAATTTGGAAAGCATCTAAGCATGTCCATCTGTTTGTCTGTCCATCTATCTGTTGGCGCAACTGTGTAATATTTGTCTAACGGTTTTCACGCCTATAACGCCCAAACGGATGTGCGACAAAAATTCAGCCGCGCCCATTCCATATAATACAATTAGAAAATTTAGTTTTTATGATAATTATAGACATGGATGTAAAAGATTCGATCACGATCGAATATAATTTTGTTACTTGTTCTTTTTAATAGTCAACAGTAAGCGGAAAAGTAGAAAACTGAAAGTTAAACGATAAATGAGAGTAAAATTCTATGGCCACTTACAGCGTTGCCGCCCAAATAAATATGGAATGGTACTTGTGCTAAACCATGTTGCCTGCACAATAAATGAGCTCATCGTTTCCGAAATATCTTTTCTGTAGAACCGGGACTTCACCAACTTTGCCGTGGCCTTTTTTCTTCTTTGCCAATTGGATTCGTTAAATGGTTGTTCGCGGAAAATACTAAACCTTATTATTGGGACCTCATCGAAAGTACGGTCGATTCTGCCGATATGGTTTTTTTTTTTTTTTTGCTGTAACGTTGAGTTATATTAGCAGAGTATTCGACAAACCAATTATGACCCAGAACAAACCGACTTCAATGTCTGGGAATTTGATCAGATTTTCATATGTAGTTTTAGCTAGAATATGTGTACAGATATCCGCACACTGTAGAAATTAAAGTTCGATCGACTGTACTAGAAACCGAACCTGAATCGTTTCGTATAGGCTACAACTAAACTGTATGATGGCTCGTCAATATTTATTAAAAATCATTACGTTCTTGCGGCAGAGTTCCATAATTCTTGTCAATAAGACGCGATCATTACACTTGCGTTACTAATCGCTGACTTTAATAGGTTGGCATATGAGAAGAAAGCGAAAGAAATGTTTAGAAATAAACTTAAAAGCAAGAAACGCAAGTTAGATATCCATTGGCAAAGGATAATATATGCATTTTCCCATAGACGTACACATGGCGCACGTGAAACACATACATATACTGTGCTCCCAAATACAAATGTTGTAAACTGTTTCTTACTTTTAACTCACTTTCGTTCACGCTTTCAAGAATTTTTAATAACAAAATTTGCGTTAAACGCACAGGCATTTTACGCAACCTTAATATTCTAAAATGAATCGATCAGTATACATATATATGTATGTATGTATGTATGTATATATGTATGTATGTGTATAACAAAGGTCAATTTGAAAAGAAAAACTGTCCAGAAGAAAAGATTTTTGTTTACTGCAAAAACTAACTCTAATAAAAATACAAAACAAGAAATTTCTATTACTATCACGTTTAAGTTGCGTCCAATTATCTTTTTCACCTTTGTTGCGGAAGATGTGTAAACAAATTGTTCTCTCTTTGCTTATTTTACACGAAAATCCAGTTAAAAGTAAGATATTAAGGCAAAGAAATTATGATTACCTCGAGGTATTTTTCTGTACTGAATATGTATGAGGTTGCATGAGAGAGAGAGAGAAAGAAGGTAGAGAAAGAGAGAGAAAGAGATCTAATTATCAATTTTCACATATATAAAAAAATGTATAAACATACATATGGAAAATTGTTCATGAAGTGAATGGCGCTTTGTTACTTAAATTTTAAATGTGATTTTCTAATTTTAAGTTTCATTGTCGTGCCTAAAAAACAATGTTGTATGTGTCAGTGTTTGAAGAAAGACAAAAATTATAGTAAATTTTTTGTTTTTTTTTTTATTATTGTTTTCTTAAATAAAACAAAAATCTATCATAATTATTTCATTAAACTTATTTAACAAACTCTTATTAAAGTATTTTAACAAATTTTTCTTTAAACAAAAAACTTGCTAAAATAAGTTTTAATAAAAAAATTAAAAAGTGAAAATTTTCAAAACTTCAAATTTTTTCCGAAATAAAGAAAAAATTCAGTTTGCTTGTAACCGTTTCACTACTTGTCCTACTTAGATTGCTTTTTCTATTAAGCATACACAATAAAAAAAAAATATACCTTCTACCGATTGTAGAGTAGATCTAGACAAGGCCAAAGTCGACGTAACCAAACTGGGGCCGTAAATCTTGAAAATATGACAATCATATTATTATCCAAATGATAGCATTAAGCGCGTCCTCGCCAAATTCCGCTCTATGTTATGCTTGAGCCCAGCGATCCAAAAAATGCCATTCAATTTTATGGGCTTCAATGCATTCACGTTGTACCGACGTCCAGAAGAAAGTGCCGGTATCGGTGCGTGCAAAATGAACAGGTACATAGAAATTTTGTTTATCGACCATTTGCAATTGGCCGGAGTCGTTTCCATCATAAACAATGATTGCATCACCCCGTTCGCTATACTGTACTTCTTCTAATAAACGATTTTCTAACTTTTCATTCGCCATATTATCCATGTCACTGCTAAGCCATTCGAACTCGTACTCTTTTTCCGCCGACGCAATATATGAGTTGCGTTTCGCATTCCGTTGTGCCTTCGTTTTGAATATAAATTTGAAGACTGGCTTTAATAGATTTTTCAAACGACGAGTCGGCGACACTTTCGATTTATTAATGTTGAAATTGTACGTATTCTTCAAATAAAACGCAACGTTAGCATTCATCTCGATTATTGTATATTTTTATAGAAGCGGCGAAAAATAACGTTGTGGCGTGTAGGACTGTTGATGATGAAATGTTATCGTTTACCCCGAAATTTAAGATATTTATACCATTTTCTCATTCTCTCCCTTGTGAGAATCTTAAGAAATTTGCTCAGAGCATCTCAGCCAATGATGGGGTGAATTAACAGGCAGGTGTTTACTATAAAAATTTCTCACGTTCAGGATTTAAGCAACTAAACGAATAGAGACGACGATCAAGTGTTGAATGTAAGATGCTGTCTGAATGCATGCATGTACCTGCTCGATATTTTCGGTACATGTAGGGGCACCTCTCACCATACACCTACTGTTTACAAGCTTAAGGGCTGTTTCTTTTTCTTTTTCATAGCGTGAGAAACTGAAATTGTATGATTCGCTTCAACAAGACATTAAAAAAAAAAATCATTCCTTTTTCAAGACAAAAACAAAAAAAAAAAGAAAAAAAAAAAGAGCTCTACACAAACAGGATCCCCAGAAAATGTTTTCAAGCATTTCATTTGTTATCATTTTTTTTTTTTTTTGCTTTAAATCGTGAAGGTTCTAGTTTCGTATTTGTATCCTTACAACAATAACAAGAGCAGCAGTAACTTGTTTAAGTAATTTATAAGAAATTATAAACAAATCATGTTTTTTGTTTTGCTCGTGCATTTCATTTCTCTCAAGGCGTGGGAATGAAAATTTTAACGAATTAGTTTATTTTAAATTTTTGTTTTCGCTCTGAAATTCTTTAGCAGGGCTTGTAAATTGATACTCTCTCTCGTTGCCAGTGGCCATATGTTGTTGTTTACGTTGGGATTTGGTTTTTTGTATTTATTTATTATTGTTATTATTATTATTATTTTTTTTTCGTCAAAGCGAAGACTCTCTTAAGCATTATATGCCAATACACTATTGTGTTACATTCTGAAAATTATTTATTAAGTAAGAAAGTTGAGGAAAGGTCTTTAATAACGAATCGATCAATAGCTCGATTAAAAGCGCTACGAACGCTACGAAATATTTGTGCTAGAATTTGTTTTCGAAAAATGAGGGGTATACTCCCTTTGACGAAACGCCTGTGACAACGACAAGTAAGCTCCAGAGACCACATAACTGCTGCTTGATCAGCACCGAAATCTGAACCGATTTAAGCATTGTCCGTCCATCCATCTATCTATCTCTCTCCACAATGTCTGTGGTAAACAGCCTCTTGGTCGTGAATATAAAACTATCGGCTTCAAATTTGTCAAAAATGAAGGACACGATCACATTATAGCAGAACCTGAGACAAACTCAGTTTTCAAACGAATCAATAGACACAACGATAAAAACAGGCATTTATATTCTATAGGTGGACTTGTAGCACATGCATACGGGCACGCCTATCCAATATGAAAAAATATTCAAATTTCATTATTTTATTGAAACGTTTTCATTACCCAGAAGGAACCTTCAAAGATCATATAAAGACTACGTATTATTGATCAGTCTCAAGAGCCAATGGGTATGAAAGGTTCGGTCACCCAAAACAATTTTCTTACTTGTTTTTATTATTAATTTAGTTTACAATCTACAATCTAAAAAGATGATAAGTAACTGTTGTAGCATAATGAGAAAAATAGCAGAGATATGGAAATAACATAACGAGGCGGACAGAATGTTTAAACAAACAAAAACAAACAATATGAACTGTGCAACTTTACTGACTAAAATAATTTAAGAAACAACAGTAAATCAATGTTTAAATGGAAGATCCAGTATATGATGCCTCAGCAATCTTCTTATTTCCTTGGATTCATACAGGATAGATATTGCCAGGGGAGGGATTTACATGGTTACTCAGTCTGGCAAGATATTTTGAACAAATGCTTTCAATTAGATGTTTGAAGAATGGAAAGATCCAAATCATCATCATGAATAGTTTTGCTGTCAACGAGCATGGAGCGTAGATAAAGAGAAAGAGAGAGCGATATTAGAGTTACTGGCAGTTCGCCACAGTTATGTGTCATAGATTCGAACGATACGCTCGCATAAAATGCATTTATTCTTTTAAATTCATTCGATGCTAGGATTAAAAAAAAACTTAAATCTCTACCTCAAAGGTATTGCGTTAAATATTTAAAACAAAATCGCGGCCGTTATTGCAGGCCACTCACGCCCGTTTATCTTTACATTAAGTTTCGGACAAGTGTCTAGTATTCATTATAGCTTGTGAAAGCTATCCTGAGAAATATGAAAAATCGCAATATATTGTTGTATAGAGAGCGGCCGTACATATAGTTCATTCAAATCAATTTGAATCTTGCATTGGTTCTTAAGCTAAAATATGTCACGATAACCAAATTATCAAAATACTTTCAAAAATTGCGACCGATAGGATGAGCAAAATAATAGCTGGGGAAAACATCAGACGGACAATGATTGTGAATCGATTTAAAAAATAATAAAAGGTGTGTTCATCTCAAGTCCTCCTGGATTTAATACACTCACACACTTCACTCACAGTGGTTTAAGGTTTCGCTTAAATTAAGCTGTTGAGTAAGGGGGAAGAAAGACAAAAACAGTTGAGTAAAGAATTCACATACAAAACATAAATAAGGCAATGTCTTATAAAGACATCGGATTACATTTTACGAGAGATAAAATCTTTTTACTCCTTGATATTGCTCAAAAATGTTTGTATGTTGTTGCAAAAGATAGATCGAACTTATGGCTTACGTAGGGCAAACATTTATTTTGATAAGCACTAGAGTTAGCTGAACTAATTTTGCATTTATTCGCCTACGATGTATTTGCTGGTGCTTTCTCAAATATATTTGTCCGTCCGAACTAAGTAGAAAACTAACAAAAATAAATAAATAAATAAATAAATAAATAAATGTTTAGGTTAAAGTCACCATGACGTGGTCACTATCACAGATGCTTCAAAAAGAGAGAGTTTTGCCACTTGTTACTTGAAATCGTTAAAACGTCATTCAAGCCACAATTAAATCTTAATCTAATTTTAGTTTTTAGAAACACAAAAAAAAAAAATAATTATTTAATTAGTTCTCCGTTTTCTTGGAAGAGACATTTTCCCACACAATTAGAAACGAGAAGTCAGTGCAAGTAAAAAACTCAAAACACAAATCAAAAGAATTATTTAATTGTACACAAGTACAACATGTAATAATTCCCCATCAGGATTTTAAAAGTTGTATGCGTCGCATTCTGTAATAAGAATAAATACATAGCACAGTCAAGTAACATTATCTACACGGAATAGGGTATTCAAAACTGGATCATGTAAAGAAATGGGAGTTATTTCGCGGAAGATGGGATATTTTTATTTTCAATATTCCGATACCTTGTCGCGACACATTTCATCAACTTCCTTCACACGATTACAAAAGAAGAACAAAAAAAAAAAAAGAAGCAATATTTTATAAATCTTAGTACAGTGCTTTTCAACTAGAGATCAATTGCATTAAGCAACTTAGTGCGTATTTGATGTTTGTTTGTTTGTTTGTTTATTATTTTTTTTAACATTTCATCGTAATTTTCTTCCCAAACATTACTCTTAAGTAAACTGAAGATCCCAATCCACAAATTGTAGTGGCTTGAAAGCCTTCAAAGAAAACTGTCTCGCATTATACTGAGCCTTAAGCCATTGAACCTTGACGGTGTGCACACGCATGCGCATGACTCAGAGTCACAATAATGAAATGAAAACTATGCATCTCTTTATCATTCATAATGTTCCAGAATTTGTTTCGAGGAATGTGTGACAGTCATTTCATGATGGGCACTTTGAGAAAATATTTCTCACCACAATTTTCTATGAGTCGTCTTGAATGAATTTAATGTTGTTTTAAAAATGCTTCTGCATGTGTTCTACAAATGTACGATCACTTGTGTATTTTTTTTTTTTTTTTTTTGTCTTAAAAGTTGAATAACATGTATCGAAGGATAGGGTTCTATCAATTATGTCGTCTTCTTCTCATAAAATAGGAACTCCTTAAGGCACTTGCAACTTAATATTTATTTATAAAAAATATATAAAGTTTTTGTGATAAAGACTTTGCCGTGTGGGGCCCGGAAGATATATAAAGCGTGCATACAACTCCGGTTCGCGTACTTAATTTAAATTCCCCAGTAATCGACGATCGTAATGGACGTACGATTGTGATTCTATTTATTAAGATTGTAAAGCCTCTCTTTCTCTTCTTTTTCTTGGCGCACGTGGCTGTTCACACACAAGCTTTTTTTAACCCTAACCGCTAAGAGCTGAACGGATCTAGTAAACATTCTTAACATATTTTGTCTTAATAAATCTTCGAGATTCTGAATTCGTGACCACGTAGGTAGGCAGATGTAGGTCCATTCTCCTGTGTTAACATCTCCTATGACTTATATGAACCTGTTTACGATATGTTATGATCGGAATGGGTCCTTTTTTTTTAATTTGACCTATTCCCACGAACAAAACTAAATACTAAGATTCAAGTTTCTCTAAATAGGATTAAAAAGTTGGATCGAATGATATGCTTAATTAAAAATCTGATAAATGACTGGTAGTAGATTAAGGTCGGCATGTTATGTTCGGAAATATTTTGACCATATTCGTGCCCTTAAAAATTTAAAAAGTCTCGTCAATATTCACAGTTGCATGATCCATGTGAAGAGATACACAAAACATTTTACTTCAACGTTTCCTTAAAGAAGAAGATAATATGATAATGAAAATCATATATCTTTAAGAGAAAACCAAAGAATACCTTACGAAGAAGAAAAGCTATCGGTAGCCGTCGGTATTGTAAGGAATACTATAAAGGCGTTACTTAAGCATTCGTTCAATTGTTTGGAGTCGGAACGAAGGCCTATCTAAACTATTTAATAAATAAATTAATATAAATCGTCGTTTAGGCGAAAATCTCCTGCAAAGTGTTCAGCTAATGATCCAAACTTTAGTTTTGAAATTAAATCTAAGGATGTTTGAAAAT